AAATATGTTAGCTCTATCACTGAGCGCTTTCCAATAAGTACCGCGCATATAAATTGCATATACATACATATACAAATACATATATATATATATATATATATATATATATATATATATATACATTTCTCACGCACACACACACACACACACACACACACACACACACACACACACACACACATATATATATATATATATATATATATATATATGAACTGCTTTCATTTAGCCACCATAGAGAAATTTCCCTGCATGCTGATGATTTACTCCATGAAAGCGTCTTACTGCGCATTTCTTGGCCTTACGTTTTTAACTGACTTGAAGTGTAATAACTACATTTAAATAGCTGCATCTACTGCAAGGAAATTTGGTTCATTGTGTAATGCTAGAATTTTATTTTTCTCGTCAGCGTCCATCCTGCAGATTTGCAAATCTATCATTCGCCCGTGCATTGAATACTGTTGCCATATCTGGTCTGGTGCACATGCTGTTCATCTCTAGGTTCTCGAAAAAAATCCTAAGAAGAATCTGCAGAGTAATCGATGCTGACTTGGCATCTTGACATCTGCCACTTTCTCGACGAAGTGACGTGGCTTCCCTCTGTCTTTTCTATAAATATTTTCATAACAATTGCTCTGACGAGCTTTTTATCCCTGGTGTCCCCACTACATAACATTAAACGTGCTACTAGTTTGGCATCTATGTCCCACACTCTTACTGTTGAAATATATGAACGATACAATCTCTTCTACTCCAACAGTTTCTTTTCTCGCACTTCCCGACAGTGGAACTCCCTTCCGTCCCTTTGCTTCCCTAAATAATAAATCTTCAAAAATTTACATGCAGCGTAAATCGCCATCTTCTGTTATTTTGAAACCCGTTCTTACATTATCCTTTTCTCAATCCCCGCCGCCTATACCCAGTCTTTTCTCTCACTTTCACTCTCTATTTTCTATTCGTTTTAATTTACTCAGCACCTACCAACCGCGCATTCACAGCGATATGCAAATATATACATCATCATACGTCCATACACGCGCACGTGCAAACTCATGCATATATAGTTTGGTTGGCTGATTTTGTTTAGCGGCATAACAAACTCTCAGAACTATTTAATGCCGCGATCTAAATATTTTGATCACCTTTTCATGGCTTCAAATGAATATATTTTGAACGCAATTATATGCCTTCAACTACTGATAAAATGTAGTATTGCTCATTTTGCTATAAAATGTATTGTTGGTAATATGATGAAATATACTGCTGACAATTTTGCTTTAAAAATAAATTTCTGGAAATTTTATGGTAATTTAAATATGATTTCTTTTATTGCTGGTATTTTTACTATAAAAAATGTGTTTTTATACTTTCATAGTTTTTTGTTTTGTTTGATTGTTCACTATTTGCCCATAGCCGGGTCAGGAGGACGTAGAAACAATAGCATTTAAGAGGTGCTTCCATATTAAAACCTGCACTACACCGATCACAGACTTTGCTGCGGCATTTAGTCTATCGTCATACCCAGGACTAGAACATATATATATATATATAGAAAGAAGGAAAGGACGAGAGAGATATTTGCAGCTTCTAGTTTCAAATAAACGGGTCAGGATTATTCTATTTTCATCGAAAATTCCACCCGAGATAATCTTATTCCATCCCTCTCTATTATTACGGAAATCACCTTCTGCTCCTTAATTTTGAGTGCGTGCTTTCTAGTATAAAGCGTTTCAGATGAATATTTAATAAAAGAGGTCGTTAGAATAAGGATATCTAGGGTGGATCTTTTAAAAATAAAATGCCCTGGTTTGTCTATTTGAAACACATATGTGCATACTGTCCTGGGTAAACTACATCCATGTCCTGTTTAAGGCCTCTGATCAGGAGATTTTGAAGTTCGTGGAACCACCTCTTAATTGCTGGTGTTCCCAGGTCCACCCTGACTCAGGGTGGTAGCACCTGTTAGGGTACCAGATATGGACAAATAGTTAACTCTAAAAATAGAGTCAAAAAACTATGAAAGTGTAAAAATATATCTTAATAACAGTAATAAATCTTTGAAGGAAAAATTATTACTAGCAATACTGCAATGTTACCAGCAACAAACTTTTGAGGAAAAAATTATTATCAAATTTTTATTATTGTTATAATTATTATTATTATTGAAGAAAAAATACCAGCAATATATTTTTGAAGAAAGAAAATATTAACAACAATAAAAATCTTGTCGTTCTTAAATAAACCATTGAGGTTTATATACCGTAAAACAAACCAAACCAAACCATATATGCATGTGTATATACCAAACAGACACATTACATATGCATATCTCGCAGGAAATCCACCTTGATATCATTGTATATCGAACATATTTTATATGGTTTTATTTGCCGTCGTTGTAATCAGCCTTTTTGCTTTTTCCCAAATTATCTGGATATTTCAAATATTGCCTTTATTTTGTAAAATTTTGTATATCATCTTTCTCTTTACATACAATCTTTATTCTCTCATCATTTGCTCTTTTGGAAATACGTCAATGTCTCATTTCTTAATCTATTCTCTTTCTTTGTTTCGCTTTCCCCTCTTATTTCA